CCCCCTATAGTCAGCGATGGAGTCAGCTGACTATGCCGAGGCGCCGGCAGCCACAGCCACTCGGTCTTGGAAGGGTTGAGCCTGAGTCTGTTCCTCCCCATCCAGACCCTTACGGCCTCCAGGCAGCGGGCCATCACGTCAAGGGCATCGTTGGGGTGGCCTGGGGTGGAGATGTACAGCTGAGTATCATCATGTGAACAAATCTAATTAAGCTGCCATGGATAGAGATGTAAAAATGTTTAAATACATCTCAAGTTTAACAAATTTGCTTCATTTCTTAAACAGAGATTTAAAACCACTAGTTCACTGTTTATAATAGGATTGGTATTAGTACCATAATTCTGAGTTACTTTTATCACAAAGCCCATGTTTAACTATAGAACCAATAAAATGCTAAACAGATTTCTCCCCTTCACCCAAGAATTTAAGGGAGCATATTTTTTCTCCCCTTACCACTTTGTAAAGTTGAGCTGAAAGTAACTGGCTCAAAGTAATCAAGTGATCTTCTGTGGCTACAAGAGGATTTGCATCTCCATTGTCATTTCATAAGTGCACTGCAAATTCACAAATGCAAGCTTGTTTATCAAGTTGTGTTTGGCAGTTTCATAAATGTGTCTCTTCTGGATTGCTACGCTTTTAATTTCACTTGAGGCTTGTATTGCACAATGCAATGACTTAAGCTCTAGTAAAAATTAGTCATTCAACTTTTTTCCCCCAAATCCTTTAATCAGTTTGATTTTATATGAGGTGAATCATAAGTTAATCCTGATTATTGATAACACTGACAGCCAAAGTTAAATAAAACTTTCTAGAAAATTAATTTGGTAATTTGCTTTCTAAGTTTCCAACAGCTTTTCAGATCCAATTATTTTTATTGCACCAAATCTACAGCTTTCTGAAAACAAAAATGTGTATTCATTTCCCTTAACCTTTTGCAGATAATTAGATGCTTTTTCTATTGGTGCTATGTTTTTAAGAAATTATCTTGGACTACACAGCTTCTGAGCAAAAATTATATGAGGTTTCTGTTTTTCAAATGTTAAATACTGCTGGGATGTGTTTGTTCGGTGTTTTAGATTCAGAGGATTTTTGCCATCATGCTTTAAAATAGAGACCAGTTTCCTTGGAGGGATGAGCATCAGATTATCATATTTTTCTCTTCATGATTTAGAATTTAGCAGCTCTTTTTTGTTGTCTGATTTTTATCCAGGAGTAAGCTTTGCTGATCAACAATTTTATTCTCAAGTTCTCAGTGGCATTTGTTCACTTATTATCATTTTACAAATCACAATATTTTTTTTAGGTATCTTAAAATTTATTGCAGCAACAGGAAACAGCCAAATAGATGCTCAAGCCTTCCATTTACATCCCCGAAAATACATGCCCCTCTAACTTCCACAGTAACTAAGCTCTGAGGTCCCACACATCATGATTATGAAATGTTAAAGAGGTAATCTGACAATAAAGTATCAAACGGAATCTGACTTCTTTGAAGAGAAATCATAAATTAAAAGGAATTTATTTCAAAAGTAGCAAGATGAATATCCCTAGTCCAAAGATCAACAAAAAAAACCTTTACTACATACTTCTAATTGTTGCAAAATAGGGACTGCACTACCAGATACAGTTAACACTGATATTAGGTACCAGACAATCCACAGAACTAATTCTGCATACAAGACAACAGTTCCTGACAAACCCACCTTCATTCTTTTACAGCTTGTGCAAAATAGTTCCCAGGGACCATGACCCAAGGTTATAATGCTATGATCCAAAGATTGGTTACTTCTGGATTCCCATTATTTAAATTATTATATTAAAAGTAATAAGTGGGAGCACTTATTTTGAACTGTGGGCATTTGAGGAATTTCAAGTTAAATATTAATAAATATTTAATTCAACTCATGCAAGACAGATACAAAACAAAAGGTCATCTCAATTTTTATAATAAAGGCAACTTGCATTCAAAATGAACTGTACCCTTATGTTTTATTCAAAGGGTAAACATGAATTAAACCCAGCTGTTTACTTGAATTACAAAAGTAAGATGATTCAATATGAAAATAAGAAACTGTCTACAAATCTGACAGTAGTAAATTGCAATATACAATGCATATAGGAGTTATACAGAGCAACAAACTCTTGTACAAAACAAAAAAAATATTTTAATACCTTTAAAATCCAATTTCTTTTAAAATCACTCATGAAAAAAGGTTTGAATCAGAGTTCACATCTCATTTAGTCAAGCCTCAGGAAGCTACATTACAACTATTGAATATACAAAGTGACATTTCTTTCTTCACTAGCCAATTCAAGTTCTCTTTCTTTTAGCATTCCTTGTTCATATTTCTTATGTGTCTAAAGTCTTCTTCAAGTCATGAGAACTGAATTTGCTGAACACCAGGGATCTAGGGAATAAAAAACAAATACACATTAATTTCAAAAGTCAATTCAGAAACACATTTTTGTTTGTGGAATCTATTGTAGTGATCTTAACAATCATTGTTCTGTCCAAAACTGGAAATATTTAACAAAAATTAAGATGGGGGGGAGGAAGGAAATGCTGTACCTGTTGATAGGACGTTGTATAAACCATGACATTTTGTTGTTGGCCATCTGTAGTTATCAAACCTGCTGGCAACTGGTTAGCTACATGAGAAAAATAGCATTGTTAGAAGATTTCTGCTCATGAAGAATTAAATACCAAATCCAAGTTAAATATCTACCATTGAACAGTATGAAATCTGATCTCTTTCACTAATATGTACTGGAACTGCAACCTGATAGTACAAGTTGAATATTAGACCTTCATAACAAGACATCGAGAATTCAACTGTGAACTAATTTGGAAGATAAAAATACACAGTAGTATGAATAAAAATATTAAATAGCATATTAACTGTCTCATCCTATAGCTGGAAATCAGATTGGTTCTTTACAGTGCCTATTGATATTTTCAGTTTTTTAAAGCATGACTGTTTTAAGTACATCACTGTACCTTAACAGAAATACATGCTCAAAGGTTCTCTATCCTCTGAGCAGAGATCTTGCTCTTTTATAATTGTTTGTCTATGTCTGGCAAATATTTTTAATAACACACACACACAAAACAGAACAAATATCACGATCAGTTTCATCTAATACAACAAGCCTGTCAAATTATATGCAATGTTTCTGACAAAACAGCATGGTTTCAAAGATATAGGTCTACTAACTACAGTCATCATTTGCTGCTCCATATTCTTTCCTCCACCAATCCACTCCCAAAGTTTGAGCATTTTAAAATTCAAACAAAATACAGGTAGTCCTCCACTTACAACAATTGAGCCCAAAATTTCTGTTGCTAAGTGAGACATTTGTTAAGTGAATTTTGCCCCATTGTATGACCCTTCTTGCCACATTTGTTAAATGAATCACTGCAGTTGTTAAGTTAGAAATAGTTGTAAAGTGCATCTAGCTTCCCCATTGACTTTGCTTGTTAGAAAATCGCAAAAGGTGATCACATGACCCAGGACACTACAACAGTCACAAATAGGAGTCAATTGCCAAGCATCTGAATTTTGATTACATGACCATTGGGATGCCACAACGGTCGTGTGAAAAACGGTCACATGTCACTTTTTAAGTGCCATTGTAACTTCAAATATTCACTAAATGAACTGGTATTAAGTCAAGGATTACCTCCATATGTGTTGTGTTGCAGGAGAGTGATAGAGACAGCATGAATTGTTAAAAATTAGATGCCTCTTTTGTATGGTGCTTATACAGAGGTCTCTCTGCCTTACTTTCAAATATTCTTCCTCTCATTCAGGAGGATCATCTGACCTTCAGATGAACCTTTTTGGGCAAGCTTCTATCAGCAATGCCTATACATACTTTGATCTGCATTCAAATGATTGTCTAATCAGTATAGGGATTTTTTTTATACAGTCATTCAATACTTGGAATATAATTCAGCGAAGAAAACAACTGTCCAGTTAATGCAGTTCTGTTGTGATAAAGTTTTATCAGAGAATTCCTCCTTCCCTGCCTGTTTAGACCTTCTACTTTCTAAATTCCAGAAGTATGTACAATTAATAATTATCTTCATGCACTCAAAAGCATCTGTATTCTACTCAAAAAAATGCAGAGCTCAAAACTAGTGGAAGATATCTAATTAAAAGCTCAATGAACTCTATGCAAAAGGAGACACACACCTGTTATCAAAATGCAAAGAATGCTATTTAAAAATGTTTTTACAATGGGATCATTCTTGTGAGACATGAGAACTCTGCATAATTTAAACATAACCCATGATGAAAGAAACAGTTGTTTTCTACAGAAACCTTTATTAAAAAGATTCTGTCTTAAAGAGGAATGCATGGTTAGTTTTAGGTAAATTACACCACTGTTGTACCAAGTTTCAGATAAACAATTGTGTATTTTAAACTGAGTATTTCAAATTCATTTTCAATTTAATTTTACTTAGTTGTATTGTTTTATTCTCTTTCTTTCATTATAACCAGCATGAATTTTTTTGAAGATGGACAGGATATAACTATTTTAAATAAGTAACAATGCTGGCTTGAGGTCAAAGACTTTACTATTTGCAATTCAGGGATATTAGAATAATAATAATTTTTTTTCTACATGCTTCGGTAAGTTATCCAACAGCAGCAGAATTGCTTTGTATCTGTGTTTTCATTAAGGAGTAAACCTTCATGCATCAAAATATATGTTACATTATCTCACATATAGTTTTCCATGGAAATTCTTCTCTGCGACACGTGATTTACAGTGATGGGAACAAGTGAGATAGATCCATATGAAAACTTGCTCAAAAAATTGTAAGTCACTCAGTATAACTCTTAGTTCATTTAGTTTCAATCTTGTTTTCGAGGATTCACGAACAAACTACAGATAGTACTTAGCTTGTGTCCATTTGTTCACTAACTGTTCAAAATTACAGTGGGGCTGAAAAAAAATGAACATTATGACCAATCCTCAAAGTTCTGGCCACTGAAGCATCCCTGCAGTCACTTGATCACATTTGATTGCCTGGCTCACAATTATAACATTTCAGGGAGACACGGTCACGATTGCCATTTGCAACCTTCCCTGCCAGATTCCCACAAGCAAAGTCAATGTGGAAGTTGGCAGGGGAGGTCACAGATGATTCCAGTCCCCTGGCCACCCTGGACTCATGTGCAGCCTGCACTGGATTTCCCCCTGTACCCCATGCTACCTACCTGGGACTCCTGCCACTTTCTGCTTAATGATCTGTGGAACTTAGAAATATTATGGCACCCTGAACTGTTGGGATTGCTATCACTAAGCGATGAGGACCCATGACTTTGCACTTTACGGCTGCAACAATCCCAGTCCCAACTGCCCAGTCTCTAAACTCAAGGACTACCTACGTATAGCATCAATATTTTGTGGACTGCATGTACTTTGCCATTAAACTGTCACATAAATACTGGCTATAGTTCAATACAATTAACAAGGTTATTTAATCGTTAAGTATTAGGCAACAATCACCACATCTGCACCAGTCACTATTAGTAACACAGTACTTACTAAATGCTTCCTCTGTGAGCTCCTCACTAAGGCCGTCTGCTGTGGTAACTGTTCCACCAATGCCTTTTTCTCCCTTCATTGCCTTGAAAAACAGTAATATTTTACGTATAACACATGTATTTTCTACAATTCACAATACAATTCTGTAAGTTTGAAATCTCTCTTTCTCTTTCATAAAAAAATACTTTTCCTAGTAGGAGACTGTTAATTTTGCCCATCATTTATCATATTAAATATTCATATAGTAGGTTTTCTGGGTAGACAAAATGGCAAATTAGGTAGATGTTCTGAAGAATTTTCCCAACAGTTGGCTTCCTACTGCCAGCTCATTCTGTCTTAACCAGAGGCTGATGTGTGGTTCTGCTTTCCAACTTGCTATGAATAGCTATTTACAGAAAGAAACTGCAACAAGCACCATTCCTTATTATGAGATGCATATGTTTCAGCTTTGCTCCATTCTGTTCATTCTTAGCACTATGGTAAACAAAGCAGAAGTAAAACAGATGTGAAGTAAGACCACAAAAACCCAGACCCCTATGCAACAGAACATAGTGCAAATTAAAGGGGGAAGAGAAGAAAGGTTGCTTGTGTCAAAAATTATACACTTTAGTTTGATTTTGTGGAGATTCTCATCCATTTTCTTCTTGAAACCTAACACATTAAATTATACAACACTTAACTGCAAATTGTTAAAACAACAAATTTGTAAATATGAGCTGCTTTTTTAGTCTAGTCCATGTGATACAAATACTATTTTTCTACTATAAATAATATACCTGTATAGGTAAAGGAAAATCTTTACAAAACATTGCAGAACAGGTAAAAATGGTCTTTTTTTAAAAAAAAAACACATACAATTACCCAGCGATCTTTACTTCCAATACAAATATATATAAACACACAACGAAACAATTGCAAACAGAATTACAAACCTCTCTAAACTTCTGAAGATACAACTTCAAAGGTTCAACATAGCTATCAAACCCCAGAGTAGACATAGCAAAGAGAATATCTTCTCCATTTATGGTCTTCCGTTTCTCTTGATGACACCTCTCACTTGCTTCTGATGTAATAAAACTGATGAATTCACTGACACACTCCTGCACACATTCTTTTGCATCTTTAGCAATCTAAAATATACACAATATACAATATTTTTAAACTTTTCCCAAGAGATAAAAAATAATAACCCCCCAAAACATAATAAAAAGGCATAATAATGGAGGCATAATAATAAATGCATAATAAAATATAAAAACAAGGCAGGCAGATACAGGGAGGTATGTTCTTTCAAACATTTAAGCCCAAAAATATTTTGATCTTTAAAGATCAACTCAGGCATTGACATAGATTGGCAATCAAACTAGCAACCCATTCAGCTTCCTCAGGATCAATGTAATATAATCAAGTCTACCTGAACCTGTCAGAAATTTATGCATCTTCCATAATAGCTGACATTTTCCATTATCAGAGATAACCATCCTTATGTAAGGATGGTTAAAGCTGGTAAAGATTCTTCGTGCTAATAAAAGTTGGTGATGCGGTCCCAAACAATACATCTGGATCAAGAACAACCAAATGACACATCTTCTGTTCAAGAGTATGTATAACAGATTCCTGAACACAGAAAACTTATATCACAAGGCATCCATTTTACTGGAGTTTTGCTTTGGTTTGCCGATTCTCATCCATGTTGCTACTAGATTCAAGTACGATTGACATTTCACTTGATTAATCAGTGTCCCATCTGATTCAGATGACAAGCAGATTAGAGCTGAATACTAAAATATTGATATCTTCGTGCCAAATCCCCAAATCATACTTCCTAACAGAAGTACCATGTACTCTAGCAGAAATGTTGCAGAACCATTTTTAGAAACTCACCCTGCTCCATGGACATCTATGTCTAATCAAAGAGCCAATCTAGCTAGTTATCAGGGCTAATTATATTAAAAGCCATTAATGTTTAAAATAATATAATATAATAAAGCATGTTACCCAGCTTAATCTCAATTAATTCTTAAGTATATCAAGAAAGACTGTTGATAAAAATATGCATTTTATACAGAGAATTGGAAAGTGGAAAATATTTTTAAGTTCTAAACGCTTCCAAAATAAACAAAGTAATCTGTTTGCAAAGCAGCCAGGATGATCCTTATTAAAAATGCTTTGTGTGTCACTAAATGAAAAATAAATAAATGTTCTTTCATTGAAGGAATTCTTGTACAAATTATTAATTATTGGTGTTTTCTTCCCAATATGAAAAATGACCTGGCCATCTTCTTTTAAGATAATGAAAACTGTCCCAGAATTTAAAACTTATTTTTCCTCACAAGAGGAAAATGCAAACTTCTATTCTGGACAATATGGAATTGTGATTAACTAAAAAATAGGACATTCTTGCTTGTTAACAGAAACCAATGATTTAAATTATGGAATACTATCAAAGATTTATTTTACACATATTACCTTTCCTGTCTGAGGTATAGCATTCTTCATTATCCTTGCCACATTTGCAATAGGAAGGTATATATCTTGTTCTCTAAAACTCTCTTTGGAACCATTTGTGTCTTCATGATCATTCATGCTGTCCTCAGTATCTAAGAAAACACATATAAATATTAATTACATAATCAGGAACGTTAATCAATGCACTGATACTTTAACTGAAAAATCTACACTTACTTTATATTACCCTTTTGTTATAGGTAGTCCTTGAGTTACAACAGTAGTGGACCCTGCTCATCAAAGTTGTAAGTCTTGATCATTGTAAACTGGGTCAGTCACATGACCGATTTTATGACCTTTTTAGTGATGATTGTTAAGTGAATGCTGCAGTTGTTAAGCAAACCACTGATTCGCTATCAATGTGATTTTGCTGAAAACTGGAAGTGGATGTTGATTTTCAGCAAAACTGTCATAGAACACATCATGTGACTATGGAACTCTGCAAATGGCTGTAAGGTGGCCCAATTGCTAAACACACAAAATATGGTCATATGACCACAGTGGGGAGTGGCAGCCATCAACTTCAAATCCGGATTTTAAGTACCTCCAGGAAGGTGCACTGTAACTTTGAATGGTTGCTAAGCTACTGGTCATAAGTCGAGGACTACCTGTACTCTCCTTTAAATGTATTAAAAAAAACCTACTGGTTTTTCTTTCATATTTTTACTTAACATTTCAGCATTCTAAGAATGAAAAGACCATGCTACTAGCCTAATACCACTAGCAATATTAAGCCCGAGGCATAACTAATATCAAGGTGAGCAGGCTCAGCCTATGAGCAAGATGTCATTCTTGAACTAACTTTATGCACTATTTGGCCTTCCATTAAAAAAGTTCTTTTCAACATTTTAATTCAGACACTAAAACAAATTATTTATATCTTCCCTGTCAGCCTACTGTATAGGAAGAAAGAAAAAGGTATTTCAAAAAGAAAGGGATACCAAGAAAGAAGAGAGTGGGCAATTTTACCCATTGAAGAATCAATACATTCTATTCAACATACTACTTACCATCATGAGGTTGGATCACATAGTGACTACCACCAATGTAATCTCCAGCAATTCCCAGCTGTGAAGCATCTGTTGTAGAATTATCACCATCCATCTACAATAAGATAACATTGTAAAATAAACATTGGCTCTATATACACATTATTACCATCATGATTAGAAATATATATAATAGCATATTTATCAGATATCTATATCTGAACTTTAACTTTCAGATATATTAAGAAATTCCCACTGCATATCTTATTATTTAGTTCAATCTATCTACTAAATTGTTTTAGCACACAGGGATACTATTATTCATGTGTGATGGTATGGCATTTATCATCCCCACGCAATATTCTTTTGTGGGGCACTAATACAAACTGAAGTATATCAGAAGTTATCAAATGTTAAAGGCTTACACATAAATACTTAATTATCCACTATTTCAAATAACTGAGTATTTCTTAGGGCATTAAGTTCTGTATGATAGATGCCACTGTTCATTAAGTACTGTAATGATAAATTGTTCAAAAAACAGTGTTGTTTCTCTCTGTGTAAATATTTCATGCTTTGGCTCCACTTCAAGAAGCATTGAACTGAATTTTAAAAAGAATTACTGCGACTTCTATAAGTAAGGATTGTAATATTACATAATACTTTAATAATAGGGGGGAGTTCCTTCTCTTTGAAAATATATGTATGTCCATCACTATTATCTTTGTTTTGGTCCTTTGGGGTTTTAATTAAACAGCAATAAAAAATCTCAACTCCCCCCTCCCAAGGAACCATCATCTATTGCTGTTTTACTAGGCCAATATTGGAATAAAACTACTCTAACCTGAAGCACTTGAAGTGGAATGAAGTAGTAAGAGGCTTATAGATAGCCACACTGTGACCCACAGGGTGCCCAAAGAGGAGTGTGAAAGAAGTGGGCTGAAAGGGATGGGCATTCAGTTAAAGAGCAAATTACTACAGTCTTTCCTTTGCAAACTGAAGAGCGATACAGCACCAGACCACAGAACAAACTGCTTTGGATTGCTTGACAAGAGCCAGATATTTGTACCAGAACAGTTCTCTATCATTCCAGCTTGAAGAGAATGGTTAGCTGCACTGGTATCCCTAATGTAGTCCCAAGGCACACTTGCCTGTGCTTGCTTCTCTGCTCAGAGAATGACTGCAAATGATCCGGCCTTTCCACCCCAGTGGTTACAGTCAATAGGAAGAGACTGAAGACAAGATCCTAACAGCAAGAGGAAGAAGACATGTCAACAAACCATGGCAGATTACGGTCAGAACTGGTTCTTCCCTAATGCAGACAATACTTCTGGATATGTCCATATAGACTACTTGATATCACTAGAAAAGTGTGGCATCCCTCTGGGATATTTTTCCCCAACTTCTCTAGCTTATAGTCCTGGTCCTTCCTAGTACAGTATTTCAGTCCTGTCTAGTGTAACCCTACTCAAGTTTTCAAGATGTGTTAAAATCAGCTGTCACATCTGAAAGTGCCAAAAGAGCCCTTATCATATTTTTTTTTATAAATCTTAATTTATAATAGAATTATTAAATTTCTATTATGCAATTGGGAAGGGAAACCATTTTTACATTTTGAGAAAAATGTACTTTGTAAAGTTAGATCTCAGACATTAAAGTTCTAATCCTACACATTATCTATGGATTTCACTAAAGTCAATTAGACTTAACTTCTAAGTAAATGTATCCCATTGCAAAGATAATCAATCTTTGATATTTTTCACCAAGTATATCATGAATTTATTTATAGAATTGCAATGTTAGGAAACTAACACAAGCTGTCTTTTCAATAACAGTACATTATTAACAGTATATTAATTTATTTTATATAAATTTAAGTACATATATTTTTAGTTATTTTTAAAAAGACAATGTACATTGCTTATTACTGGCTATATTGAATATTATACCTTTCAGTTTTCTATGCCCTTTTAAAATTTAACTAAACAAAGGATGCAATTATTCCAGGTTTTATTTATTTGGCATGTTCTTAATTGCAAAAGCATCTATGTGCATGCGTGTGTTGGAAGGTCAGTATTTTACAGGGCAAAAAAGGAACCACCACCAATAAGCATATACAGGTAGTCCTCAACTTATGACACAATTGAGCCCAAAATTTATGTTACTGAAACATTTGTTAAGTGAGTTTTGCCCCATTTCATGACCATTCTTGCCACAGTTGTTAAGTGAATCCCTGTAGCTGTTAAGTCAGTAACACAGTTGTTAAGTGATTCTGGCTTCCCCATTAACTTTGCTTGTCAGATGGTCACAAAAGGTGATCACACGACCCCAGGATACTGCAATCGTCATAAATATGAGTCAACTGCCAAGTGTCTGAATTTTGACCATGTGACCATGGGAATACTGCAACGGTCGTAAGTGTGAAAAATGGTCATATTACTTTTTCAGTGCCATTGTTAACTGAACTGTCACTAAATGCTATTGTAAATTAAGGACTACATTCATTAGTCTCAAGTCTAACGAAGTATAGACAATTGGACAGATTAATTTGTATATATTTTCTCATTCAGTGAATGATTTATGTTGAAACTTTTAAGAATAACCTCACTTGAGATCCATGATTTGCTTTTGAGCTGTTACAATCTTTTTTATTCATGTGTTTACCAATGAGCAAAACACAAGAGAAGATCTGTATTAGACCTATGAATTTTCTAATAAGTATCAATAAGTAATTCTGGGAATTAACAGGTCGTATACTTTCTCTGTAATGGATACATACTTTTAATAATAATAAATGTCTGTCTAAATCAATAAAACAGTCATAACCCAGGGAAAATATGCAAGGCTCCCTTAAAAAAAATAAGCCAGAGAAGTCTGATGAAATATTTGCACTCGGATAGGTTCACAAGCATTTACTCACATGGTTGCATGTGAAAATTAGGCAGGCAGGCAAGCCGGCCAAAAAAACAACAAAACCCTGATTCAACAATATCGGTCTGCTATAGTTGTGTGTGCGTTTTAGAGAAAAGGCTTGCTCAGAATTGTATATTGACCTGACGGGTTGAATCCTTTTCAGGCCCCAGCAGCGATAAGGACATTTGACAACTGGGGGGTGGAGAAGACGCACGTGGGAGACGTAACAAGCGAAACAACAGCAATGTCTGGATGCGAATAATGCGCAGAGAAAAATAAACCCAGCACCGACCCGGAGAAAACGCTTTCGGGCAATAGAGCCCCCCCCCCCCAAGGCTCCCACCCACCTTTAGGGCCGCGATGCCCGGACAGCAAGGACGAAGCATCTCCGGGCTGGGACTGACTGCGGGAAAGCTTTCTGACAGCGTCTAGTTTCCCCCCTCGGACCTATTCCTGTAACCGCGAAATGCCGAGCAGCGCGACGTTGGGTCGGGGGGCAGAGGCGAGGGGGCCAAACCCTCCGGAAGGTCTCTCCCCCCCCCGCACCCCGCGATCCCTCGTCTTTAGGCCGAGCGAAGCCAGAAGCGGACAAAGCGGGTCGACTTAAACAAACCCAACTCCACCCAAGGAGGGGAAGGGGGCCTTGGGGGGGGGTGTGAAACGGGGAGGCTGCCCCCGAGGGTACGGCAGCCCCCCCCAAATAGCAAGGGGGGCACAGAGGGGTCCCCGTCGCCGGGGGACCCCGCGGAGCTCCCTTCTCTCGCCTGCTCTGCCCCCCTCGGGAAGAGGGCGCGAAGGTGAAAAAAAAAAAGGAAGGCGAGGCCGGTTTCGCTCGCAGGCACGGGAGGCGACCCCGGGCGAGGCGCCGCGCTCTCCGCCCCCGCCGCCTTGCGTGGGCCTCGTTCTCGGCCCCCCGCGTGCCCAGGGCCCGGCCGGCCAGCGCCGCCATCTCGCCTTCCCCTCCCCTCGCGGCGGGCGCAGAAGACGCGGCACAAAGACGCGGGAGGCAGGCAGCCAGCCAGCCAGCCGGGCCCCGGCGTAGGCTCCGCTCGGCTCTCGCCGCTCGGCTTTTCCAGCTCCCCACACTTCCTGGTCCCCTCAGCGGCGGCGCGGCGGCAACGCCAGAGCCCGGGGAGGGAGACGGACATTTCATTCGAGCCTGCAGTGGAACCGGTTAGCAATCATTGGCCGGAGCCAGGCACAAACCTCCAGTGCGGCCCTGGTTGGCTCCCTCCACAAATCGGCTGTTTGGTTGGACAGAAAATGGCTGCGAAGGAACCAGTCCCAGCGCGGAGCACCGCTTCCCGAAGCCGGCCTGCCCTCCCTCCGCGCCGCCTCCTGCCCGCCCCCTCCCCGCACAAGAGGCTGTTCCCGATGGAGGGTTCCCTCCCACCGCTGCCTGAGCCCAGGCGCGAAAACACCGCCGGCGGCCTGTCCGGGAACGGCGTTGCCTGACCTCCGCTCTTTCTCCCCGGAGCGCAGCTGCGGTCTCCCCGTCTGTTGAACCGAGCTGACAAGAGCAACTTGGCAGTCCTCGTTTTCCAGCGTTTTTTTGTACTCTTTCCCTTCCTGTTTATATTTTTTTTACAGGCTAGGGAGCTTTTATCGCGGAAATTCATGAGTTATATACACATGACATGCCAAACCGTAGTTTAAGCAAGGCTTGTTGAATCAGAATTGGCTACCTTACAAATCAACCACAATAGCTGTAGTCACACTATATGTTCCGTGACAAGGAAATCAGATGTTGATTTTGTGAGTAAGATGGTGTTAGATTTACAGTGTTTCTCAACCTTGACAATTTTAAGGCATGTGGACTTCAACTCCCAGAATTCCACAGCCAGCAATGCTGGCTGTGGAATTCTGGGAGTTGAAGTCCACATGTCTTAAAATTGTCAAGGTTGAGAAACACTGTGTTAGAAGGTCCCTTCTAACCAGGTTTGAAAGAAGACAGAACCGTTGCTTGAAGCAGAGAAGTTTATTTCCAAAGATCAGCTGTTCAGAAGTACATGTCAATCCCCCCCTCCCCAGTTCCTTTTATAGGAAAGCCTTCCTTTTGTTCCTTGAAAGTGCCTGAACAGATCCCACCTTGGAAATGCAAATGGCCAAAAGGGAGCGCTCTGTGGTCCAGCACTCTGCTGGGCTTGTGGTTTTTGCCTTGTGAATCAAGGGATGGCCTTGGAAACAAAGATCCTCCTTGTTTATAAAATGGGGAAGTCTCAGAGGGGAAATCTCTGATATCCTAAAGAAGGCTGACATTCTTCCGTTATCTTGCTAATTTCAACCTTGGCGATAAATCCTTTTAAGTGTAATTTTGATGAGGAGTGGGGGAAGAGTAAAGAGTGAATGGTGTGAAAGGCAGGCTTACTTTCCTTCCTACAGTGGATGCCACCTATGTACAGTAAATAACACCTAGGCTTTGGGATCTATCCCATAAGGGAAATATAATTTGTTTCCGTTAATTTTACAGTGCAAAATAAATCCTTGGCCTTGACATGGTAACAAATGGGCGAGTGATGTAGGGTTCTTATCCAATGGGTTTGTGGGAAGGAATGAGCACAGATATCTATGACCTGGTTGCACTTCATAGATAAAACCACTCAAACTTACTATGGCCTTGATTCCTCCTCCTTCTTTGCTGTTGTCCCCAAAAGCCTTCCTGTGACCCAGCAAGATTGGATATCAACCAGATGCCAATTTTCCCTCTTTAGACAAGGTTGTTGAGCAGATGGTATCATTCCAATTATAGAATGCCTTAGAGCAGTGTTTCTCAACCTTGACAATTTTAAGGCATGTGGACTTCAACTCCCAGAATTCCACAGCCAGCATTGCTGGCTGTGGAATTCTGGGAGTTGAAGTCCACATGCCTTAAAATTGTCAAGGTTGAGAAACACTGCCTTAGAGGAAATTATCTGGATCCTTTTCCGTTAGGGTAAATTGCTGTAAATGACTGGAGTGCACTCCTCTTGGTCCCGCTTCATCTGTTGATAGCTTTCAGTACCTTCAGCCATGATATCCTTCTGGATTGCCAGCCAGCAATAGTGATTAGAGATGTGGTTTTCAGAGATTCTGCTGTTTTCTAACCAGGCAATACCAGACAGTAGTGGTAACATCAGTCCCATTGGGCATTCCATTACAGGGTTCTACAGGGCTGATTTTCTCACTTTGCTAAGTATTTAACATCTACATGAGGCTTCTGGGATAAAGTAATCATACCAGAGGGAGATATCACCAGTATATTGATGAAACCCTACTGTAGACCATCACTAGAGACTGGAGAGTCCCTGGAAGCTGTGTAGATCTGGTTAGAACAAAGTAAGCCAAAGTTGAAGCCAGACAAAGTGGAGCTGCTGCTTATCCAGACATCCTCCAGTTCTCTGCTTCAATGGTTACTCCAGACAATATATAGGACTTCTTCTAAAAGAACAGATCAGCTACTTGGGTACTTCCTGGATTCATGCTGATGATGAGCAGGTGGAGGCTGTGGCTTGGGTGAGAAGGCATATAACTCATTTTCTTATCAACATCCCTATATTGTATTTCAATATGCTGTACATGAAATTAACTTTGGAAAGTATTTGGAAGCTACAGCTGATGAAGAATGCAGCAATCTGCATGCTGACATATGAGAGCCATTATAACAATATTGTGGGTGTTGAACTGTGCCACAAGGCTTCTGGATGCAATTCACATTGTTGTTTTTGACTGTTAAACCCTTGGCTTGTATGCATTTGCAGGATTCTTTATATATTACTTGTAGGCTCATCCTATCTGAAAATGTTGCAGGCTCTCATGCTACATCTGGTGACATTTGTGAGAACCCAGAGAGACTGTGGTCTGTTTGATGGATGCCTCTGCTTTGTAGAACAGCTACGGGAGATTAAATCTGTGACAATCCTGGCTTCATTTCTGAAGGCAGCCCAGATTAGAATTATTCTCCAAGGTCTTTAAAAGTTCATGCTTCCAGTTGTAAACAGCAGGAGTCTCTGGATTCTGTAGTATATAAATGTGGAAAATAAATATTCTGCATATGTTAATATTTTAACTGAGTTCCATTTTTTGCCATTTAAACCTCATTTTACAAATAACTGCTTTTATTCTACCTGACTAAGCCTGCCAAATGAAATGTAGATAGCACCTGACACAGCAGATTACATGAATTCAATGATTTTTAATCATTAATCATAGATGGAATGGATTCTCATCTCAAATTTATGAATATGTCTATGTGTCACAAAAGGCCAGAGACCTGTATTCTAGATACAGGTAGGCCTTGACTTTTTACCACAATTAAACCCAAAATTTCCATTGCTAAGTGAGGCAGTTGTTAAGTGAGTTGTGCCCAGTGGTGGGATTCAGCCGGTTCGCACCACTTCGGCAGAACCAGTAGCTAATTTTTTGTTGCCCAGGCCCAGAATGGACTTCCAGAAGTGGCATCCATACAGAGAACCAGTTGTTCACATATTTGAATCCCACCACTGATTGTGCCTCATTTTACAAACCTTTCTTGCCACAGTTGTTAAGGGAATCACTGCAGTTGTTAAATGAATCATGCGATTGTTAAGTGAATCCGACTTACTGGATTTGGCTTTGCTTGTCCAAAGCTGCCTGTGAAGGTTACAAATGGTGATCACATGACCCCAGGCCATTTGCCAAGCACCTGGATTTTGGTCATGTGACCATGAGGATGCTGCTATGGTTGTAAGTGTGAAAACTGATTGAAGTACAACAGCATTGAAAAAAGTGACTGATAAACAATCACTAAACAAATGACTGTAAGTCGAGAATTAGTAGAGTCCGAGATCCAATTCTTCCAAAAGGAAACTATAACTGTTCCATGCTTTTGTCCTACATTAGGATTACGAGAACTTACATGACAATCCATGTGTTAAGAACTTGAGATGTTATTTTACTCTTTTGTGCACATTAACAGTACACCAAGAAATGTCTGCAATTTTAGTCTTGGGTATTCCTGCTTCCCCCCCCCTATTTTAGAAGCAGCTATTTTGTATCATTTAATTTGTTAGTAGAAAGCAAACACATACCCAATACATGCATTGTTTTAATGATCCAATTGCACCATAGAACTGAACTTTACAAAGTTATCTGGGGGGAAAATTACTGTCAAAATAAGTTATTTTTATGACTTGTAATGCCATTTTGTGTGTGCGTGCATGTGTTATCTATTGTTATTGTTTTCAATGTGAGCTTGACAACTAGCTGATAAGGCACACTCAATCTTGTACTAATTTATCTAATGAAAGCCTGAGGTTGTAGGACAGACAAGGAAAAAAATATGGAAATTATGCCATAATTTCATGGAATAATAAATATTCCATAAAATACAAATTGCCTAGCCAACTCAGATAGCTCAGGCCATGCCAGATGGAGAGAAAATACAACCCACCCTTCATTAGCCTTTCTGAGAGCAACCATCCTTCTCACCTTTTTCCATTTTATCAAGAAAAAAGGCGACAATCAACTTTATGGAGCACCTTCCTGAAGACTAGGTACATTATATTCACAGTTTTTTTTTCAGTCTATTAACCTAGTCCAGGGGTAGGCAACCTTGGCTCTTTTATGACTCGTGGACTTCAACTCCCAGAATTCCTGAGCCAGCCATGCCTACCCCTGCTCTAGCCTGTGCAAATAGTTGATGGCCCAATGGAGAGTTTTGCAAATTGGATTCAGTAAATTATAGTCATATTAATCATGGGCAGCCTACCCCTGACCTAGTCGCTTTGGTATGATTTATCTAACCCAGCGGTAGGCAACCTCGGCTCTTTTATGACTCATGGACTTCAACTCCCAGAATTCCTGAGCCAGCATGGCTCAGTTTGGAAACCTCTCCCTTTCCCCTCAGCACGGCTGGCTCAGGAATTCTGGGAGTTGAAGTCCATGAGTCATAAAAGAGCCGAGGTAGGCAACCTCGGCTCTTTTATGACTCATGGACTTCCACTCCCAGAATTCCTGAGCCAGCATGGCTCAGCTTGGAAACCTCTCCCTTTCCCCTCAGCATGGCTGGCTCAGGAATTCTGGGAATTGAAGTCCACGAGTCATAAAAGAGCCGAGGTTGCCTACCCCTGATCTAACCATTTTTAACAAGCCCAGGCTGGCTTCTACTGTGCCCATCGCCTTGCTTCCTCCCTTGCAAATTCAGTTACACGCTTTCCTCCAGCAGGGATCGCACGATCCCTTTCGGAATTCAGAACGCCGTTCTTTCGCTTTAGATTCTATTCCCTTCGCAACCGCCTGGCAACCGTCAAACCCGCTCCGGCTGCCTGCCGGGGTCCGCGGCAGGGAAAGCCGCGACTCCGCTCGGCGAGGCGGACGCCAAAAGCTGCAAGCGTGGCAGACCTCGGAGCTTCTTCCGCTTTTGACAGGACTCTTCCCAGCTCAAGATCCATTCCCGGGCGGAGAGAGAGGAGAAGGGAGAGTCTAGCGTTCCGGACACCCGACGTTTCGCTTAGCGGCCAGGAGAGGTCGTAAAGAGCGGGAAGACGGACTCTGGAGGCGACCAGCCCGGCCATGGGCAACTCAGCGCGGAAGGGCCGAGTTGTCCACCAGGCACCCGAGGAGCAGCGGAGCAGCGCCACGCCCTTCGAAGGTGGGTTGTGCTGGCTGGCGAAGTGGATGCTGACGAGAAGAAGAGTGAAATGGGTTAAGCTCCGAGTCTTGGTTGGCTTTTTAGCTGGGCGTGCGGTGTGAATTCAGCCACTTACATTTTTTTTTCCAGACAAATCATAGCTGGCCTGATGCTTGAAATCAGCTGCAGGCTGCATTCACAGGATATACACACTAGCCACCCATGGCTTAGCATGTTGTATGACTCTAGCCTAGCCTGTGCAAATAGTTGATGGCCCAATGGAGAGTTTTGCAAATTGGATTCAGTAAATTATAGTCATATTAATCATGGGCAAGCCTGTTGTGCAAATGCATCATCCATTTTACAGAAGGTAATAATAATAATAATAATAATAATAATAATAATAATAATAATAATAATANGTAAAGTTGGAAGGGACCTTGAAGGTCATCTAGTCCAACCCCCTGCTCAGGCAGGAAACCCTATACCATTTCGGACAAATGGCTGTCCAGTCTCTTCTTAAAAACTTCCAGTGTTGGAGCATTCACCGCTTCTGGAGGCAGGTTGTTCCACTGGTTAATTGTTCTCACTGTCAGGAAGTTTCTCCTTAGTTCTAAGTTGTTTCTCTCCTTGATTAGTTTCCACCCGTTGCTTCTTGTCCTGCCTCCAGGCGCTTTGGAAAATAGCTTGACTCCCTCTTCTTTATGGCAGCCCCTGAGATATTGGAACACTGCTATCATGTCCCCCCTCGTCCTGTGCTTCAAAGCAAGTTGCTTCTTTATTATCCCACTGCCGGTTAAAAAATTGTTCCGGGGATCCAGCTCTTTGCAACTTACCTGATTTTCCCCCCTCTGATCCATCCAGAAATCTGGCTAAGGAGGAAAAGTTTAGTAAAGAAGACTCCTCAGTCTTAAAGCTCTCCGAACCTTTTTCTAATCCAATGTTGCTTTTTCCTCCCAGCACTTTCCCCCAAAAAACTGCATTTACAGCTAGAACCTCTTTTATGAATGATAAACATCAGTGCCTTATAGGTACTCTTTATCTTCCTATTTCCTCCTTCTCCAAAGAGCCCAACACAACATAAAATGTTACTTTCTCACAACAGGTGGACAAAACAAGTGGTTTCTTCTTGATCATAAAGATCAGGGGTTTTAGAGTTGATCAAATTATGTTCACATTGGAATTTCTCACTGCTCTTTCCCCCATCCCCCACTCTCAGGGCTTGCAGCTCAGCCTAGAGCAGTGGTGGCAAACTTTTTAGAGATTGAATGCCCCAAAACCACCACCCCACCCCTGTCCATCCTCTGCCCCACCTGCCCACAGGGCCATCTACCACCTCCATGGCCCGCCGCAGCAGATCGCTCAGGCGGTCCAGCAGCGCCTTGGCGGCCATGCCCTCTGCCCGTGCCTCGCAGCATCATTTGAGTGTGACAGGGTGCGAGGGCGGAGACTTGTCCCCGCTGCCCGGCTGCCATGTCCTTGGCTGCGCTGCTCTGTGTGGGCCGTGCCTGGGGGCAACTCTCCTCTCGGGGGCTACTGGGGAGGGGGCTGCAGGGGGAGGCGGGGCTGGGCACCGGTGCCCACGCCCACAGAGAGGGCTCTAAATGCCGCCTCTGGTACACATGCCATAGGTTCGCCACCACTGGTCTAGAGCACAGGTTTTGAAGGAAGAAAATCTCAGGAGGCTGGTTCGAAAGAAAGGCCATTGAATATAATAAATAACACACTGGTAGAAAGACGGGCACCCTTCTTTCTTCCCAAACGCATCTGCTGTACCCAAAGCAGAAGCACCCCAGTTAGGGATCAGATAGCTATGGATGCAATGCAACATGCTAAGATCAAAAAGCTGCTTTGTTAGCAACTGTTATATATGTCTCATTAATCAAGGCTGATGGTTTAGTGCAGGGGTCTTCAAACTTGGCCCTTTTATGACTTGTCGACTTCAACTCCCAGAATTCCTCAGCCAGTATCAATACTGGTTTCAAATCTGCTACTGTTTTGTGTTCAGGCAACATAGCAACCCACACATGTTTAAAAAGCCATGCCATGTGGTTACTTTGGTGTGTGCATGTTTGGCAGCAAACGTGTCTCAATCAATCTTTTGATTGTGTGGTGTATATGATGCTTCTCTAGTGAATGAACAATAACAATAAACTATATTCTTGTTCAGTGGTGCAAAACTCAGCAGGCCTCCTAAAGGTGAATGACCTGCCCATTCATCTGATTCTTCCCTCCAAGTTAATTTAGAGCTATGGATGAGCACACCTTGAACCTGGTCATTCACTGTTTGCAAATCCACCTAATCACAATGTACTATTCTATTACTGTAAGAAGAATATAATAAAAATCTTCTGCCAAAGGTTTTGCTGATGTTCAAGTATATTACTGTATGCTTATGGTATTTCCCTGATCTACTCTGTTAAAAAAAAAAAAGATGCCCAGGTTAACTGGTATGATTTGTTTCTAACAATCTCATACTGCCTCTTGTTAATTGTAGCATGCAAACATGATGTTTGATAAACTGAGGATGTCACCTGGTATAGATGTCAAGGTGAAAAGTCTGTGGTTTCCTGGAATTTTCTTTCTTGAAGACAATATTTGCTCTTCTCTGAGACCTTACCAGACCTCCAGTTCTCAAAGTTTGCCAACAGTTTACCAACTCTGCTGGTTTTCTTTACAGTCATAAAATATAATCCCTTTGGCTCTAGAGATTAAATTTACTTACATTATTTAACTCTCTTATGAGCACCTTTGTTGTCTATCCTAAATTCCAGCTCCCTCCTTCACTCAGAAACTTAATGCTGACGGGGTGTAATTTCTTTTCTGGCAGAAGACAAAAACATAATTGGTCCTTGATTTATAACCACAATTGGAATTGGAATTTCCATTGTAAGTCACTGCGGTCATAAGTCAAATTGGACCTGATTTTATGACAATTTTTATAGTGGTGGTTAAGCAAATCCAGTTTCTCCAATGGGCATTTTTTGCCCTTTTTTTGGGTTGGAAATCAGCAAAAAAGGTCACAAATTGCGATCACATCACCACAGGAGACTGCAACCAGTTGCAAGCACATGCCCATGGGGGAGGTACAATGATCATAAAAGTGAGTAAAGTTCATAAGTTACATTTTCCCAAGACTTTCATAATTTTGAATGGTTAGGGGTCTTTGGTGCTCTCTGAGCTTGATTGTTTTCTTGCAGATGTTTCATTACCCAAACTAGGTAACATCATCAGTGCTCATCTGCAACGGAACACTGAAATATCTGCAAGAAAACAACCAAGCTTAGAGAGCACAAAGACCCCTAATTTCAACCCTGAGCTACAAATATTTTCCTTTATTGAAGCTAACTTAAAAAAAATGCATGACATGTGAATCCAATCACTTTCTATATTTTCTTTTTAGTGCTGAAGTGCCAAAGTAAGGCTGCAAGGGGCATTTATATTCCAACTGAAGTGTTTCTAATAGCACAAGTCTGCTTGCCCAAATATTCCCAACATATAAGAGAGGTTTGTGTGCTCCAAGATCTTCCAGATTCCACTGAGTGGCAACCAAAGAACAGGAAGGACCAGAGGGTGCCATATCTTTGTAATTTTGTTATTCGGCTGTGCCCGTTTGATTTCCAGTTTTTTTAAAGGGCCGGATTGGGTCCAGGGAGATAAAACTTGGATTAGCCAATATTGATACCTTGGTTTAGTGGAGACTGTGAATTCTGCCTAGTCCTGCCCTAATCATGACAGCTGGCTGGGTGACTCTGGACCAGTCACTCTCTCTCAGCCCAGACCACCTCACAAGGTTGTGGTTGTGGGAAAAAGAGGAGGAGGAAGGAATATTAGGTATGGTTGTTGCCTTACGTTATTTATAAAAGTAGAATAGAATGGAATGGAGTGTGATTGGACACACAAGGAATTTGTCTCCGGTGCATAAGCTCTCAATGTACATACAAACAAGTGACACAATCATAAGATACTAATAGGAGAAAGTAATAGGAAAGCTGAGAAGGATAATAGTAATACAGCCCTACTACATGAGTAAATACCTTCGAGACCGCCTCCTGCCGCAGATCACCTCCCATCGACCTGTACGCTCCCATAGAGTGGGCCTCCTCAGGGTGCCGTCGGCCAAACAGTGCCGGCTGGCGACCCCAAGGGGGAGGGCCTTCTCTGTGGGAGCTCCCACCCTCTGGAATGAACTGCCCCCAGAGATCAGGGTTATCCCTGATCTCCCTTCCTTTNCAGCTCGCAGGACTGGCCTAGGGTAATTTTTAGAGGGGTTTTAATCAATATTTTAAATTGGACAATTCTCTAATATTCCTTTTAATTAATTTTAAATTCGTATTGTTATTTGTGTATTTTAATTGATTGTCCGCCGCCCTGAGTCCTACGGGAGAAGGGCGGGATATAAATCTAAATAATAAATAAATAAATAAAATAAATATCCTTAGGCATAAGAATTATGTGGGAATTAAGTGTTCAGCAGAGTGATGGCATGGGGGAAAAACTGTCCCTGTGTCTAGTTGCTTTGGCATGTAATGCCCTATAGCGCCATCCCGAGGGGAGGAGTTGAAACATTTTATGTCCAGGGTGCAAGGGGTCTGCAGTTTTTTTCTCAGCCTTCTGATCCGTGCAATATACAGGTCTTCTATGGAAGGCAGGCTGGTTGCAATGGTTTTTTCTGCAGTCCTAACTATCCGTTGGAGTCTGTACCTGTCCTGTTTAGTTGTTGTGCCAAACCAGATCGTTAAAGAAGTACAAACGACAGACTCAATAATTCCTCTGTAGAACTGTATCAGCAGCATAACGGCAGGATACAAGCAAATAAACAAATACATTTTGCTTATTTGTCAAATAAGGTTTTGTGGCTATTACTAATAATTTGCCATTTTGTAAATGCTAGGTTTTTTTTATTGTTTCTTTCACTGAAAGGCGTTTTTAGGCCTTTTAAAGGAAATGCCTTGGAAAAGGAGGGGATCTTTTTTCATGTCAGCATTGAAGTGGTACCTAAAAAAGGAAGTATGAAAGTGGAAAGAGCAGAATTTAATCCTCCTAACTTGAATGGAAAATGTCTATAATTTGGGCCTGTTTATGTCAGCAGGCGCTAGATAAGTAAGTCCTAATGTATTGAGCAACAGGAGATGGAAAATTGGCATAAAATATTCTTTTGTTCTGATTCAAAACACAGTCATATGCAGGTGCTGTCAAGAAACCTTTTGCATAGAGAGCATTCGACTTTTCCCACATGGTGCAAAGCAGAGAGGATACAACAGTATCAATGAGGAATCAAGTGAGTGCAGATTAAAAAGGGGAGGAGCCTTTATTTTATGAATGAAAAGAGGCAGCTGTATTACAACAATATAGTTTGGGTATTATTTTGAAAGTATGACAGATGTAATCGGGTAATTTTCAGATTTAAAACAAAAAGGCACTTAATAAATATCCTGTAATTGTTATTTCTAATTTAAATAACAAATAGTAAACTACTTGGCATTGTCCTGTCCATTTGAGTTAAACTCAGTGCCATCGGGGTGCATGTTTGTACTTGCAGGCTATACATGGTGTAGAATATCTAAGATCAGTTGTCCTGCTGCTTATTTACACTTTTTAAAGTAGGTCAGAGACAATTATTTTGTCAGAAGCATCAATATTAGTCTTGCCACGTCTCCAGTTGGCATCCTGGATTTGTTATATGTCAGCGTGGGACTTAGGCCATATTTCCTTGACCCTGTTTATCAGAATGACCGGCAGGGGGCCCCCAAAGACAGCGCTACTGTCTTTCCACATTTAAATGTGAGCTAATACAACAAACCATATAAGGAAAGACCATTAATTTTAGGATCCAAAATCATCCAACCACTGTTGAGCATTTTGAAGAAGGAAAGAACTAACTTGTTTTTGTAGATGTAATAGTAGCTCAACAGTAAATGGGCAGAAGTATAAGTCAGGCCAGGAACAGGATATTTAGTCGGAAGAAAAATTACAATCACCTCACGAGTGTTATTACTCAAAATCACAGCTGGCCTCTCTATTGCCCTTTTTTTAATGGAAACATGAAATCACCAAGAAAAAAATAGCCCCAAATAGTAGACATTCTATGTTAAAGTACACCGAGATTCAACAGTTCTCATCTAAGTCTCTGACGTAGCCACACATCAAGATTTGAAAGCTAAACTTTGCAGCTTTGCCACTGCAAAATTTGCTGTCACTCTGGTTGCTGAAATCCACAAATGGTTTGAGGTACCGATTCAGTAGACCAAACCTGCAAGTAATGACTTCTCTTGACTCTAAATCTGTCCCTGATCTACCTAAATATTTACCCAATCAGAACATCAGTTGTTTCAAAGGAACAAAACTGAGCGTATTCTGGAAAAACTGGATTTATTTGGCTAGATCTTGTTCTACTGCTAGGAATGTGTAATTTAGATTGTGAATACTGATAGAAATGTCTCAAGGTTAAAACCTAATTTCTTTAGGTGCACAAAAACAACTCAATTAACTTTAATTGAAGCTGCATAACTAAATTCCTGTATACCTGTCAGAAGAGAAGCCGGTGGCGACCTTATGGAAATGCTCAGCTGGCTATGATTAATGCATCATGCTTGTATTGTGGTGTTTGGGCCTAAGGGGTTCATGATACTTTCTGGAGAATGTCCTCATTGTGACATCAAGCTACATCACAATATCTGCTCTATAATTTTCATCCTTTTCCTCTTTTGCAGCCACATTAATAACAGTATTTCTTAATAAGGAGCACAAAACATATAAAGCACAATTTAAGTAACATTATATTTTACTTCTTGACTTCCATCTCATTGTGGATATATTGATAATTTTATCCAACTACATTTCTAGGTTTACCTCCATTGGACATCTTGAAATAAGGGAGACCAAATGCACTAAAAGTATGTGAACCTGGACTAAACCCGCCTTTTCAACAGATAGCAATAACAATAGCATTTAGACTTACATACAACTCCGCAGTGCTTTACAGCCCTCTCTGAGCGGTTTACAGAGTCAGCGTATTGCCCCCAACAATTTGGCTCCTCATTTTACCGACCTCAGAAGGATGAAAGGCTGAGTCAACCTTGAGCCGGTGAGACTCGAACTGCCAAATTGCAGGCAGTCAGAAGTCAGCAGAAGTAGCCTGCGGTACTGCATTCTAACCACTGCACCACCAGTATCTTTATTTGTAATTTAGATTATTAATAGAAAAGTAGATATATTAATAAGGAAAGGAAAGAATTAATGAAGGAAAGGAAAGAATTTCAGAAGTTCAGTTGTGGGAAAGGTATAACAAGATAGTCAATAACTCACCCCTTTCATTTTCCTAGCCATTAAAAGCATTGTGTCAGCTATCAGTGCATCCAATGCACAATTTAGTTCCTGTATCAAAACGGGACTGCATAGTGGTGGCCTAGTGGTGAAGATGCTCGCCTCCCACTTGGAAGGTTGAGAGTTCAATCCTAGATTGCAGCAGATGTTTCTCTCCTAGGGCGCAAAGAAAAAAATATGTGATGTAAAGTCCGTGTAGATGTCAGGAAGGGCATCCAGTCAGTAAATGCTCAGTTCCATCCAGTTGCCCAACTCTACCTCAAATAGGGACTACAGAGTCGTAAAGAGGGAGTTTTTATATGTCTCCAGTAAGACATATCATAAAAACAGTTCTATGGCTCTAGCTGTATGTAATGCTGCAAATGTCTTTCTAGAGTTATGTACAACCTTTCAGTGGTAGACTTTACATTATTGAAAAAAAGAATAATTTAAAACATCCATATCCCCACACCAAAAATTTTAGCCCACTTTTGGGGGCCTTTTACTCCCAGTAATGTTAGATGTAGTTCCTGTGCACTGACATTTAGTCTATCTTTCTTTAACTTTTTTTCTTACATTTTTTTTGCTGATTAAATTCCTATACTCTGGGTGTTAGTCTGAGTAAAATCCTCCATCAGGTTTTATAGAAACAGAAAACAATGCATCTAAACAAAATCTCACATGGCTTGGCTAGACCCACTCTAATTAATAGTGTCTTTTAATTTACTTTGAGGGTTAAGAGTAAACTTTCTTGATACCTAGGCTTCCCTAATCCCTCCATATTCCAACTCTTGGACTTCTCAGTCAGTAATTCTGGAAATGGCTGCTGCAATACATCTGGATGGTATCAAATTCAGGAAAAGAGCTGTAATCTGGTTCATTACAATAATAATATTTATTTTTCTTGCAGCCACCAAAAATGTTACTCAGAAGGCATTCCATATTTATGGCAAAGGAAAAAATGTGGAGGCTGCTATTAATAAGAAAGACTGGAAATTAGCGATCCAGACACTCATTGATGAAAATAGTGTCATGATTTTCAGCGATACCACCTGCAAATTCTGTGCAAAGGTAATGCATTTGTTTTCTGATGCAGAATGTGTATCTAAATCAGGAGCGGGGAACTATGACCCTTTGGCTCAGGAATTCTGGGAGTTGAAGTCCACAAGTCATCAAAGGGCCATAGTTTTCCATCTCTGGTCTAAATGAAACACTGGAGAATGTTGGCAATTAATTGCCCTGATACTGAGTTGGTAAAATGTAGACTGTCTGTGGCAGCTTTCTGTGTTTCTCTGTTCTTGTTATATAATCATTCCAAATCTGTTATTGTTCAGATGTATAGGTCAACAGTTTCCACAATTTCTTAGCGGCCTTCCTGCCTAGCATTGGCCATCTTGGCAGGAGAGTTATGATGATGACATTTATCAGATTAAGCATGGGCCATTTAATGGCTTATTCTGGCAAGTGGTAGCTAATTGTTGCCTATTTTATCTAAAAGTATTGGCTAAAATATGAAGATTAAATAGTCTGAAAAGGGAAACAGTTTAACGAGTCGCCTTGAGGTGAGATGGGTGGCAAACAAATCTAATGAATAAATAAAACATTTTTTTTCTGCTTTAATTCTGCTGAACAAATCTAAATGCAAGCTGTAGTTTTTCTGAATCTCTTATATATGAAATCAATGAAATCCATTTTATAAATCTTAAAGATGAACGTGCACTATAGGTAGTCTTTGATTTACTGTATGACCACAATTGAGGCCAAACAATTTCCATTGCTAAACAAGACAGTTTGTTAAGTGAGTTCCCCCCCCCCCATTTTACGACCTTTCCTGACATAGTTTTTAAGCCAATCACTGCAGTTGTTATATTAGGTTTTTAAATGAATCTGACTTCCCCATTGACTTTGGTTGTCAGAAGGTCACAACAGGTGATCACATAAGCCCAGGATACGGCAACTATCATAAATACATGCCAGTCGCCAAGTGTCTGATTTTTGGTGACGTGACTACAGGGATGCTACAATGGTCGTAAGTGTGAAAAACAGTCACAAGTCACTTTTTCAGAGCCATTGTAACTTTGAATGGTCACTAAATGAATGGCTGTAAGTGGAAGACTATCTGTAATAAGATATTTGTCTTGCTTACAGGAAGAAAAAACACTTTCATTCGTTTATTAATTAATAAGAAAGATCCAATGAATATAGGAGATGTTTTTAAGCAATCTACAATCAGACTCTACCACCAGTCATTTTCATCTATTTATTTTATTTCACTAAAATGGGTAGAATTCCAGTTTAATTGTCTTAGAAGAGACCCATGAATTATATTTACAGTATGTGCATTTTCATTTATTTCAATGATTGTATCTCTGTCTTTAAACCCAACCCTGAAGCTGCAATCTGCTGAGCTAAACAGCTTCACTTTAATTCAAATTAACCAAATAAATTTTAAATAAAAACTACATTCTCAGTGCTGTTTATGCTGATCCAACTCAGGTGACTGGGAAGGAAGCAACCAGGGGAATGCCAACCCATTTGAGCAGACCGCCTGCCTTAATCTAAGAATGAAAAAGATATGAAAGGATCAATTCCTAGAGAGGAAATTCCATGGTTTAAAGTCACTGCAAAGGCAAAAGGCCACCCCCCCCTCTTTGCAAGTCTATGACAACTCACCATGGCCAACTTGCCACAGCCAATGTGCTGCAGGACAACGCACTGCAGGACAAAAGTTACACTAAAATTAAAGAAATAGTAGAATAGAATCATTAAAGAAAGGATACAAAAGGAGAGACAGAATGAAATGTGAATGGCAAAAATTAAAATATTTTTAAAATTTATTTTTAATAATAAAGTAGAATTGTTAAATTGTCCACAGTGAGTTGGTCGTGATGAGCTGTCCATGGCGAGTTGTCTGCAGTGAATTGTCTGCACCAAGTTGTCTCATTCTGCCTCTTTGCATATGTTATTCAATTGATGGGCTACCCACATGTGGCTCTGAGTGCCCTTGCTTCGAGGGCCCTGTGCGGCATTCAAAAATATTAGATATGGCTACCAAACGGTTTTTCCATTTGTGAGGTTTTGTGTGAAAGGATAGAAAATGTCTGAAGTATAGGGCCAAAGAGGAACACACAGTAACTGTATTTGATTTATGTATTTATTTAAAATATTTAAATGATTGCCCAACTGAAGCAAGGTGATTGTGGGCTGCTTACAGGAAATTCAGCAAAACTTTAGAAAAAATCCACAAAACATAAACCAATAACAATAATATAATGATTAAATGGCAATCTAAACCAGGGCTTTTCAACCAGTGGTACGGGTACCACCTGTGGTACATTGGCACCTGGCAGGTGGTACGTGACCATCCTAGAAAAGTGGTAGCGGGGGAGGGGAATGAGCTGAACTGGTGGCAGCACCGTACAAGCCTGAACGAGAGATGGCTGGAGCTGCAGGGCTGTCAGAGCTCAGTGGAAGCGTCAGGATCAGTGCCGCTTTCCAGCTGATCGGCGCTTCTTCGGGCTGTCAGGGCTCAGCGGAAGCACCAGGATCAGCACCAGGCTCCAGCTGGAGCTCGGCGCTGATCCTGGTGCTTCTGCTGAGCCCAGAAGAAGCGCCAATCAGCAGGAATGTTGCAGGATCTCCAGGGTCTTGTGATTTACATTCAGATGCTTGGCCACTGATTCATATTTATGACGGTCACAGTATCCCAGGGTCATGTGAAGTGACCAAAACCTGCTGCAACCACCCAGCAGACGGGGGGGGGGGGAATAAAAACCAAACACCCCCCATCCCACCCCAGCTGCCAATCCTCAACAGAAATGCTCACAACAATGAAAACCTCGGACAGGAGGAAGAGTGCCGCTGGGTGGGCAGGCAGGTGTCTTGCTCAGCGGTGGCTTGGGGGGCACCTTTTTCAGTGCCATTGTAACTTCGAACAGTCACTAAGCGAACTGTTGTAAGTCGAGGACTACCTGTACTTTATCACTTTTTTCCTTTTTTGGGGGGGTCATCAAGTTTTTGACACCTTGCTAGGCGACTGGTGGTACTCGGATATTGCCATATCCTAAAAGTGGTACAATGGATGAAAAGGTTGAAAAGCCCTGATCTAAATGACACCATCACCCTATTGGGGTTCCAACACCTTGTTACCCAAAGGAGTGGGGAAAGAGTATTTAATATGAATTTCACGAAATTTATGCAGTTCCATCCTTGACACACACCTCAGAAGCCAAGCATGGTCCCTATTAAAATGTTGTGGATTCTATTATTCTAAACAGCAAGCTCACACAATTTTCTTTATAAAACCTATCCCACAATACCTTAAAATAGCAAAAAATGTTTTAAAAGAAAGAAAACTATGTTCATCATTTCAAAAGTTATATTTAAGTTAGTAAGTAAATTTGAATGGCATACAGACATTTGAGTTCTATTTAACACTTCATCAGGAAAAATGGTACAAGAGAAGAAGAAAGTGCTATTGTTCTCACTGTATATTGATTATAGTATTATAATATAGTATACCCTAACCTGCAAAATGGGAGGGTATATTTTAAAAATTCTAGTTGCTAATCTTATTGAAATGTTGTGCTTTATGTAGGTGAAGGATCTGTTCAAGTCCACAGGTGTTTCTTATTTCGTTCTTGAACTTGACCAAGTTGGTAAGACTATTCATATTCAAATATCATTATACTTAAATAAAAATTAATATTCTAATGTCCTCCATATATGTTAGGTTGCTCTCTTCCATAAAGATTTCTTATTTAACATATTTTGAAGAGCACTACATTGAAAAATGAATGTAAAGGAAAAGCTAAGGCCAGTCTGCACATTTTCTTAAACTGAAGGATTAATTTTTCATTCCAAGTGAGAATGATGAGCGCTCAAGACACACAGACCTCAGTTACGCATCATGGTAGGTTATCTCACTTAAAAATGGTTAGTGGAACAAGATGATTCATCTGGATTCATATAAAAGCCAAGGTATTAAGTATAATAACTGGGTTCATACAGTATGTTAAGTCAAAATTAAACACAATAAACCACTATGATTTAGCCTGATAAGCCAGCCTAACTATATGGGAGAAGCTAATTTTCTAGTTGTTGCTGTGCTACAACATCCAGACTTCATTAGTGAGAAATGCTGAAAATTGTACTTTTGACATGTATTTAGGACAGTTGCACTGGGGTCATGTGATCACCATTTGTAACCTTCCTAACTGGTTTCCGACAAGCAAAGTCAATGGGGGTGGGGGAGCCAGAGTACACGATTCACTTAAGTGTCTTGCTTAGCAACAGAGATTTTGGGTTCAGTTGAGGTTGTAAGTCAAAGACTACCTGTATTGGCAATTTGCTGAGAAGGCCAGCGTTTGAGGGCCAGCTAGGCCATCATCGTCTGAAGAGAAGAAATTCCATTCTTTGAGAAAGACACAGGAGAAAGTTCCTTTCTTATAGGCCTTCAGTTTAATGCTAGTTCAGAAAGGGAGGAGTCTCCTCTGAGGAACAAACGACTATTTCAGCAGTGACTCAGGTGGTTGAACCCTTCCGGCACAGCAGTTTTTGGTGTCATGAAATTCAGGCCAAGTTTATTTCCTCAGCTTTTGACTTCAGATAGTGAAGAAACTGGTTCAGGACTCATGATATTAGGCCAAGTTCCAGCCTTAGCCCTGGAGGTGCCTCACGCAAGTCCAGGGTGCTATAATTAGATGCTGTGCTAATTACAGACAGTCTGAGCAGGATTAGTGGGATGGTGGTGGTGGTGGTATGGTTTTAATCAACAGCTGAAATGCTGACTATATATATAAAAATTGTGGCAGTTTTTTCCTTATATGGCTGTCACTCCATTTTATCTTCCAGATGCCAGTAGCCCTCCTCAATCTGGTGCTCTTTGAATGTATTGAATTATTAATTTGATTGTCCACACAGACTAAAAGACTAAAAGAAATTAATGGCCAGAACATCTGGATGCAAATGCAACCAGATAAAAATGTTCAAACCAGGGGCTCAAAACCAGTTTTGTTTTAGATGGGAACTAGACAAAGAAGGTTATCAGTCAGCCAGTAGACCTGTATACCACCTCTTAAAACTGAGGACATCATGTTGCCAATACTATTTGCTAGAAGTACTAGGTAAGGTCTGTGTGTGATCTTCCTCAGCCACTCGCTTGATCCAGTAGCATCATCTTATAATTCGAAGAATTTTTCTTGAAAAGGCTGAAGTTTAGCTACCTATTTTGGGTCAAAGACCTTTCCTAGTAAATGTAATTGAGCATAGAAATAGGAAGTATAGTACAGAAATTGCTCAATTGTTTCAGAGAATTAATATTACCAGGCAGGAAATGTCTAACGGGGAAAAGAATTCACACACAATGGAACTTTAGTGAGCACCTTTTGATAAATTATTTTTGCATTGTCATGCTGCCACTGGCAGTTTGCACAATGCAAAAGGAGTGGCATTGTGAAAATTCCACAGAAGGCTGTTACAGCATTTATATGCTTGCATATAGTTTCTGGGAAGAGGTGAAACATTTTATTTAAAATTGTCTAACAGGGAAGATATTCAGATAAATATTAAAAACAATATATACTTCTAAGAAGGATTTAAAATCCAGGCTGTTGAAATAGACTTAGACATAAAGCTTTAGTTTTTTTTGTTGTTGTTATATTTATCAGAAAATTTTACTGTACTTTAAAAAAAAATGTGTATGTGTGTGTGTGTGTATGAATGACATTATTACAGTCTCACAAAATGTTATTAACTTCTTATTTAGTAACTGGTATGCTGATGAAACCAGTTATACATCTGTAGCCTGGCCCAAACATTTGATGCTGTCAGGATCCCTTCCCAATGTCTGAAGGCTGTGAGGGTCTGGATAAAGGAGCAAAAAATTCAGCTCAGTCCTGGCAAGAGTGAGCAGCTGTGGATTTTAAGGTCCCCTGGTTCTCAGGATTTTCCATCTTTAACTCTGTAAGTCCTTGACTTACAACAGTTCATGTAGTGACTGTTCGAAGTTACCACAGCACTGAAAAAAGTGATCATTTTTCACACTTGCGACCATTGCAGCATCCCCATAATCATGTGATCAAAATTCAGATGCTTGGCAACTGACTCATATTTGTGACGGTTGCAGTATTCCGGGGCCATGTGATACCCTTCTGCGACCTTCTGAGAAGCAAAGTCAATGGGGAAGCCAGATTCATTGAACAACAGTGTTACTAGTTTAACTACTGCAGTGGTTCATTTAACAATAACATGGGCAAGAAAGGTCATAAAATGGGGCAAAACTCACTTAACAATTGTCTCAATTAGCAACAGAAATTTTGGACTCAATTGTGGTCTTAAGTCAAGGACTACCTCTACATCCTTGACAGAGTTGGTAAACCGTTTTAGGGTCCTCCTAAACTCTCAGCTCCTGCTCAAAGAGCAAGTGGCAACCGTGGTTAGGGAAGCTTTTGTACAATTTCATCTTGTGCATCACTTGTGCCCATTTCTGGACCAGAAGACCTTGCTTATGGTGATTCATTCCTTAGTCACCTCCTGTTTGGATTGCTACAGTGCGCTCTAGATGGGGCTGCCCTTGAAAAACACTTGCAAGCAGGGTGGCATGCTTTCCTATGGGACGAAAAATATAAAATATACAGATACTTTCAAAGACACATAGTTAGGAATGCATTGCTACAGACTTGGGAAAAAATAAAACAAAAACATTATATAAGAATTCCAATGTGGTTATCCCCAACAGAAGCTCTGAAATACCCAAACCTACTGCATATAAATAAGATAATTAGATACAAGGAATTAGTAAATGAACAGGGAAATCTGAAAACAAAACAAGAATTGGAGAGATTGACTGGTGGACATTTACACAAATTCAATCTAAATATACAGAGGACAAAAAATTATATGAAATACAAAAAGAGCCGTAAGAATTGTATAAAATTATACATGGAACAGAAATAAAATTAATTAGCAATTTATACAAATACCTATTGAGATATAAAATGGAAGATGAGGTTGTCAAAGACACAATGATTAGATGGGTAAAAAATTTCGGATATAATATAGAATTGGAGAAATGGGAAAAAATATGGGAAATAAACATAAAATTGACTATGTCAGCGGCATTCAAGGAAAACCAGTTGAAGATGTTTTACAGATGGCATCTTCCACCAGCAAAGCTTGCCAAGATGTTCCAGAACAATTCGCCAACATGTTGGAAATGTAAAAAAGTACATGGAACATATTATCATTTATGGTGGACATGCCCAGTTGCAAAAAAATACTGGACTAAAATAAGAAGATGGATCAAAGAAATAATAGACCAACCCGAAGACTGGAAACCAGAGATCTTTTTGCTGGGTATTTTAAACAGAAAATACTCTCTCTCTTTTTTTTTCATCCATCCATCCATCCATCCATCCATCCATCCATCCATCCATCCATCCATCCATCCATCCATCCATCCATCCATCCATCCATCTATCTATCTATCTATCTATCTATCTATCTATCTATCTATCTATCTATCTATCTATCTATCTATCTATCTATCTATCTATCTATCTATCTATCTATCTATCGGGTCCTTTGTGCTTTTCTTGCAGATGTTTCATTACCCAAACTAGGTAACATCATCAGTGCTAGTGACTAGCATTGATGATGTTTCCTAGTTTGGATTAATGAAATGTCTGCAAGGAAACAACCAAGTTCACCAATGACCCCTCATGTCAACCCGGAGCTACAAATATTCTCCTTTATTAGTATATACCTATCTATTAAAATACCATTCCAAAAAGATACCAGATGATCACATGATGATATCACATAATCAATGAACCCTCAATTTAAATTTTCACAAAAAAACCCCTAATGTCCATCTATTTAGGTACATTAATTAGGCAGTTCAATATGCTCTAATGCAATTTTAATTAATCTCAAATCTGTTTGAAACCATTTTAATATATTTAAACCCAGAAATGTCCACTTTAATAAAATTCTTGAGCTTTTGACAGAAATATGCTATGAGTTTTACTTCTATCATAGATTCCAATAAGAGAGATATCTTATACCATTTCTGCTATTTTTTGAAATGGTATTTTAATGTATATAAATAGATTAATAAGTCAATTTTAAATATTAAAGATGTCATTGTGATGTTGAATTATATACTAAGGCTTTGGAATCTGACTTTATCAGGAATTGTGGCTGTATTATGTAGGGGTGGAGGTGGCTAAAGGAATTATATTGAGATATGGGAAAAATTATATTATTCCATATATTAAGGGATGGCTTTTAGAAATGCGTGGGTTACCTAGCTTGGAAAAGGCAATATTTTCTACTAATCAGAATTTGCATTTATTATACTATAGTACTATATGGTATATATTATTAAGCCAGTGACTATTCATAAGTTTAATATCTAAGTTTTTAATATAAATTTTATTGAGTTTTTCTTTTTCTTTTTTTAATCCTTTTAAACAAATTCTGGGAGGGAGACTCCATTATTTTTTATTTCATTTTAAAGATTATCATATTTAGCTGGTTTTTTTTTTAGTGTATGTAGGTATAATGGAAATATTTTGCATTTTATAAAATACAATGAACATTACAAAACCCGACAAACGCTGAAGACCTGCCTGTTTCCCCAGGCATTTGGGTCAGG